TGAAGAAGTCCCCAAGTTATTTTGGGTAATACTATTTAGCCTTAATGGGATTACAACCTCAGTCTAAGTTGTGTTAATGTGACATTAAACGATAGTTGAAATTAAATAAGTCATTTAATTCTACATTTCATTTAAGCTATCATCTAACGCAACCAAATTGGGGTTGTAATCTCAGTGGAGCTACATAACATTAATCAGTTATTTTATTGTTGCAGTTCATTTAGGACCAGATCAGATATTTTATTAAATTTCTAGTTAGACTATTTACGACAAGTTTTAGCATATAAGTAAAAATTAAATTTTAAAATAAATAATCTTTTATTATAAAAATTAGAAATATAAGAATTTCCTTATTTTGACTGTAACGTTTACCTACTTTTAATATAAAAATGTAATATAATTTGACATGTAGCTTTAAGCTTTAGCCAATCATGCTGCGATAGCGTGTCTGTCATAAATAAGGCCAACATCGAGTTTGTTATTAGATTAAAAGAATGTTTGGAATAGAGACCCATTCAAACATTAATTTTAAAGAAGGATTATGCTTTAACTTTATTTTAATTGCCTAAAACGTGATCCTGCCTTCAATAATTTTAAGATACAACTTGTGTCTTTTTTAACATTAAATAATAACAATAATATTCTATAATGTTCAAAATGACAATTTGTATTTTATAAAATATCAATACAAATCAGTAAAATTTGCTTTAGGTTCTCAAACTTTTCCTCTTCAATTTCTTGTTTCCATAAGAAAAGGTTAGTTCACTTTATCTTTGTGTCAATTAAATCCTTTTGATAAAACTTTATTTGGTGACAAAATTTTGAGAATGTGTCCCTTTAGTTACTGAATGTTTTTACAACGCAGAAGGCCAAAAAAAAAAGCTTGGTGACTAACATGACACATTTTGAAAAATCCGGTGATCAGTTGAAAAATTCTTTTTCTTTCAAATAATATTATTCATTATCTCGTGACCATCACCAAGACAACTTAGTTCATTGTTTAATACAATGAAATACGTCAGAATTTTAGCATACAACAAATCAGTTGGTCACTGCCACCTAGACACGAAATTATCATTATAAATAATTAGTAATATGATAACTCTTTTCTCCCGTTTGGTCCCCATTATTTGAAATTGAGATCTGCTGAGTGATTTTTCTCTTTGAAATTTTAGTAGTGGAATAATATTTTTTTTGAAAAATGAACGATTAAAAAGAAGAAATTTTTTTGAAATTATGTATAATATTATTTTATTTAAGAATGTATAGCTGGTAAGAAAAAAATTAATTTTAATTTTAATGGGACCAAATGGGGCGACATCTCTTCATCTAAAGGAAGATTTATTTTTTAATCATAGAAAAGGAAAAACCTAATATATAGAATTTAATTTCATAATTGAGGCGCGTGTTGGACCAAATTATCCCATGTTTGTCATCCATTTTATCAAACATTGTTTACTACGATAAACAATCTCCACCGCATATTAACTCAATAAAATATTCTACACACAAACCAACTTTACTTTTCAACCGAAAAAATACTATTCAAAACTCTATTTCTTCTCCCAAAATGGGAGACAAACAAGCACTATGGTTTCTTCACACATAAATTCTATCTTTAAATTATCGGCCAATTGCAAAAATCGAGGTATCAATTAAAATATTATTACAAAAGATAGTTGACATTCGTTAGATAATCATCGTAAGGAAACTCGTTGGAAAGTGCTAATTCGTTGGATAACAGAATGCAAAGTGAAAAATGATGTGACATTTCAAGAATATTTCATGAGTACTAAGCCACTATCATTTCATAAT